GTCGCACCAGCCCAGATGCATCTTCCCCCGTCCCCTCCCCCTACACGCCCCCCTTGGATTTGGCGGGGGCTATGCGCGAGGGGTTGGAGCGTGAAGAACGGCTCCGGCGAGTGAGTTCAATCCCTGACAGAAGGGGTTCAATCCCCAGCAGAAGGCTTCAATCCCCAGGAGCAGGTTCAATCCCCGGCAGAAGGGTTCAATTTCTGGCATCCACCTTAAGCACACGCAAAAACAAGGAGACTCCTGAGTTCAGAACGCCCATGCGAGTGTTTAAGGTAACCACGTGAAGTCTGGGAATACTTCATGCCAGGGTTCTAAATACTGTCATCCTCATAGCAAAAGATTGACATAGCATTCCTGCCTAACGGAATCATGACTCTTCTCTATCGGGTTCCGATTGGGATCCCTTTTAAGGTTTCGTCGAGTCGAACCGCACGCCAACATCGTCTCTGCTTCCGCTCGGCCAGAGAAACCGCATGCCCAATGGTGACCCACGTTTGCGAAAGAGGTCTCTCGGGAGGCCCGAGGAGCCTGTCAAAGGGCCCCAGAGGCTTGCCGGAGGGCCCAGGAAGCTTTTCGAAAGGCCCCAGAAGGCTCTCGGGAAGCCTGGGGGGGCTTGTCGAAAGGCCCAAAGGGCCTCTCGGAAGGCCCAAGAGGCCTTTCGGAGGGCCCAGAAGACCTGTCGAAGGGCACCAAAGGCCTGCCGAAGGACCCAAGACGCCAGTCGAAAGGCCCAAGAGGCTTGTCAAAGGCCCTAGAGGCCTCTCGACAGGCCCCAGAGGCCGCTCGGACGACCCAAAGGGCATTTCGACAAACCCCAGAGGCCTCTCGGAACGCCAAAGAAGCTTCTCGGGAGACCCAAATCGCCCGTCGGAACGCCCAAGAAGCCTCTGGGAAGGCCCAAGAGGCTTGTCGGCGGGCCCAAAATGACTGTCTCGACGAGCGCGTTCCACTACTCGCAAATTGTCTGGATCCCTCGCGGGGGATCTACGATAATTTATATCAAAGCAGACAGGTGTTTTCCGGACGTTTGCGAATTGTGGAACGCGCTCGGCGACTGTCGGAAGGCTGAAGAAACCTCGCAGAGGGCCCAAGAGGCTTCTCGGGCGGCTCAAGAATCCTTTCGGAAGGCCCCAGCAGCCTGTCGAAAGGCCAAAGAGGCTTGTCGAAACGACGAAGAAGCCTCCCGGAAGGCCCAAATGGTTTATCGGAAGGCCCGCGAGGCCTGTCGGAAGCCCCGAGAGACCCGTCGAAAGACCCGAGAGGCCTGCCAGGAGGGCCCAAGAAGGCGCGTCGGAGGGCCCAACAGGCGTGTCGGGATGCCCTAGAGGCTTGTCGGAGGGCCCAAGAGAATTGTCGAAGGGCACGAGGCTTCTCGGGAGGCCCAAGAGGCGTGTCGGAGGGCCCAATGAGGCGTGTCGAAGGGCCCACGAAGATGGTCGAAAGGCCCCAGAGGCCTCTAGGGAGGCCCACGAGGCCTGCTGGGAGGCCCGAGGCGCCTGTCGGAACGCCCAAGATGCCAGTCGAAAGGCCCACGAGGCATGTCGGGGAGCCCAAGAAGCCTGTTGGGAGGCCCGGAAGCTCTCAAGCTGAACATGCTGAAATTGTGATCCAGGGGTTGAACCCGTGTGCCGGGGATTGAACCCTTCTGCCGACATTGAGGAGCTCTTCTCCTTTTGTCCATCACCTCCACGATGGCCCCCGGGGCTCCCAAGAGGGCCCAAAGAGGGCCCGAAGAGGTGCCCAGGATGCCCCAAGAGGCCTCCAAGAGGCCCCCAAGATGCCACCAAGAGGCCCGGAAGAGACCTTCAAGAGGCACCCCACAGGCATCCAAGACGCCCCAAGAGACCTCGGCGAGCAAGCCCAAGCCAATGATTTTTACAATGGTTTTAGCCACAAGTTGGCCTCTGGGGGGGGACTCTAATTAAGGAGCCCCCCTCCTTTGATCAATCTCCCCCAAGATGGCCCCCAAAGGCTCCGAAGGGTGCCCCAAAACAGCACCAAGAGGTGCCCAGCAGGCCCCAGGAGGCCCCCAAGAGGCTCCCAAGAGGCCCCCAGGAGGCATTGAAGGCATCACTGATTGTAAGAAGATTTTGGTCATATTTTGGCCTCCTGGGCGGAGGACCCTAAGGCACTACGACCCCTCCTTTGATCGATGTCCTCCAAGATGCCCCCAACATTGCCCCCGAGGCTCTCAAAGATGCCCCAAGGCGGCCCCAAGAGGTGCCCAGGAGGCCCCAAGAGGCCCAGAAAAGGCCCCCAAGATGCCCCCAAGAGGCTCCCAAGAGACCCGCAAGGGGCCGCAAGAGGCTCCCAAAGGAACGGAAGACGCCCCAAGAGGCCCCTGAATTCCAAGAGAACTCCAAGAATCCGCCGAAGAAATCCGAGGAGACTCCGAGAGGCATCCAAGAGGCGTCTTGCCTTTCTGATCGACCTCGTCTTCATCCTTTCCTTATCCGCATAACTTATAACTCCTCCTCCCTCCTTCCTCCTCCCCCTCCCCATCGTTAGCTTGATCCCCTGCCCCTCCTCCTCCTCCTCCTCCTCCTCCTCCTCCTCCTCCTCCTCCATCCCTTCCCTCTTGGGGTATGACGTCTTGACCAGCCCTGTATTCCGCTGCATGCTTATCCACGTCACTGATCATCGCTTCTGGATAGGCTGTTGGGGTAACGCGAAGCGTCTAGACTTCTTTGCTTCGAAATCCCTGAGATTCGCGAGCGCGATGGCAACGTCGGTTTCACCGCGTGTTCGGCCGCCACTCGGGGCACGTTTTCGGACAATCACTGCATCTTCTTCCGCTGGCCTCTCGGCCGAGAGGGGCTGGGCGCCGTGACGGCCCAGGGCCGCGCCTCTCCGCACACCAAAAACCCGGGGCCCGTGCACACGGCACGCGCTCTCTCCTAGGAGTACGGCATCGTCTGCAGAATTGACTTACCCCAAAACTGGTTCTCTCGTCGAGCCATGCGCAGGATGTTTGTAGATCTACGGAAGTTCTACGCATCTCTCAGGGATCCGACGAGAAAACCAATCTGGGGGTAAACCAATTCTGCAGTCGATCCCCTACTCGGAGACTCCTGGGGCCGCGCGCGCGGGCACCGCGCGCGCGCTGGCCCAAGGGCCCGGCCCTGGCCCACGGCCCCGGGCCCTGGGCCCGGGCGTGGCAGCCGGCGAGGGCCCCCCCGGGGCGCGGCCAGAAGCGCCCTCCGCGACCCCCCCGGCGCGGGCGCCCTGAAATAGGGGGCGGCCACGAGGGGGGTGGCGAAGAGGGGGGGCGCAAAGCTTAAGTCGGGCCTGTGCCCCGACAGGGGGATTTTCGACGAAGAATAAAACAAATACCCCAACCATGCCCCAAAAAGATAAACATACTCATGAAAAAAAGATCCCGCACTATTTTGGGACTTTTTTCTTTTTGTTTTGCATGTTTGGTGTATTTTTTATGTTGCGTCGAAAATCCCCCTGTAGGGGGGGACAGGCCCGACTTAACGCAAAGCATGGCAGGCGGCATGTGCGCGGCCTGAGGGGGGGGGGGGCCAGGGCCGCATCGAGATAAGAAGAGGCGCCATGAGATCTGGGGAAACATCGCGGCCCACGCCATGATGTCCCCCCCTAGTCTCGGGTCGGGCGAAAGGGGGGGATAGCAAAGGGGGGGGTTGAGAATCAGCTCACGTAGCTGATTTTCCCCGCGCCTCCCGGCGCCGGAGGCGGCCATGTATCGAGGAATGGGCCCTTCGGCGAGGCCGAAACCAGCTGCATGCAGCAAATTTCGTAACCCCCCCTTTCCCAATCCCCCCCTTTCGCCCGACCCGAATGATGTCCCCCCCCAGTCACCACCCCTCTCTTTGCCACCCCCGATGCTCTCGGCGGCGAGCGCGGGGGGGAGTGAGAAGGAGCGCGGGCCGTCTCCGACGGCTCGGAAGCCCTCCCGGCCTGCCGAGGAGTCTCTCCTGGGCCTCTGCCCCGAGGGCGCAGAGAAATAGACTGCTCAGGGGAGGCGCGATGGCTTCTGGAGAGTCCCGCCGCCCTCTCGCAAGGCCCCAAGGCCTACTCCTTCTCACTTCTCACTTGCCCCCCTCGCTCGCCGCCGGAACTCCGACGACGGACACCGTTACGGGGGACTGGCTCGGGGGCGAGGGAGCATGAACCTGGGATCGGCGATACATCACCGATAGATCGGCGACAGGGCCCCGATAGCAGATCGGCAGTCCTGAGGAGCGCGGGCTACCTGAGCCGATCACTCTCTAACGTTGCCCCTGATCCGTGGCTGGGGGACCGAGCACAAATCCACCGCCTGCTTGCAATCTGATCTTCCTGGGCCTCGGAGAAGGGACAGAACAAATCGTCATCAGCAGAACATTTCGGAGGCCCGCGCAAAGTTCCTGGATCAGCGCCGGAACCCTCTCCCTGGCGCGCGCGGAGCGCGCCAGGGTCGGCACCGGAGGCGCCGCCAGGGCGGTTCAGCGCCGATCCGAGAAACCCGCGCAGACCTCCAAACGTCTACTCACGCTCGTGCAATATCCTCTTCTTCTTCTTCGAGGGAGGCGGTGGGTACTCGTGGGCGAAACACATCCCCGTGTCCGTGGCCTCGCGGGCCGCGAACCTGGGCCGCGACCCCGCGGACACGGAGCGTGTTTTCGCGGATGCCCCGCGCGCCGAACGCATCCGTGAGACCACGTCACCGCGGGATCGCGCTCATGAATCCCGACCGCCGGGGCGCGGATACGGATATACTCACCGCTCGTGGGGTACTTTGGCGGCGCGCACAAGGGGGCAGGGGGAGGAGGGAAGGCTTCTTAGAAGGAGGCTGCTTCTCAGAAGGCGATGGCCCGACATTTATAACGCCTTCTGAGAAGCAGGGGTGCTTCTAAGAAGCCTCCCCCCCCCCCGTGCTCCCCTCAGCACGTGGCTGAGCACTGATAGAACTGGCGGTCCCTGTGAGGCAAGGGCGCTTCCGACCGACCAGCCCGCCCCGGACTGGCGCCCCGCCGCGCGGCGGGGGCGGCCTTGGCGAACTTGACGGCGATGGGCGCGGAGAGCCCCGCCGGGACGTTCCGGGGGAGCAGGTGAGGGCGGCCAAGAACGACGCTGGCGACCGCATGTGGGCCCCGCCCCCAATAAAGCAGGGCTAGGATCTGGATAAATCGCTCCAGAGCGTTCTGGAGCGCTCTCAGAGCGTTCCGGAACCCTCTGGAGCGGCCGCGGCGCCCAAGACATCCTCCAAAGCCGCCGATTCTCAGAGATTTCGAATGATCCCGATCCGATTTTGTCCCGATCTTCGCGTCGTTTTACCCAGACCCCCGACGTCATGATTTCTTCATGACGTCGACCCCCGAGGGTCTGGAGACCCATTCCCCAGGACCGCTTTCTCATCCCGACGGTCCCGAGGCCCGGCAAGGGCCCCGGCCGAAAACATGGAGATACCTTCCTTGAGGACTGAAACAAGCGACCCTACCCTGGGTTACAAGTGCGTGGTCTGTGAAACCTCCTCGGAACCCCCAGAGCCTAGAGAGCCGCCAGGACGCCGCAGATCACGCAGGGTTTACCCTGTCAGCCCAAAGGTGCTTCAGCGCACAGCGCCTCGAAAACCAGGGCAGGGGCGTTTTGTATGTCCTTGACTTCCGTCGCGCTCGTTTCGCGACTCGAGGGGGTCTGGGGCCCCCCCCCTCCCGGAGACTCCCTGGAGGCGCTGGCGTCTCCAGCGCTGCCACACCGGGCGGCCTCGCCCCGTGGCGGGCCCCTCGGGGGCCCTCGCAGGTCGGCCCGCAGAGGTCCGGCGTCGTGATATTTTCTGTTGTGCGTGCGGGGCCTTCGGTCGCTCGTCGTCCTGGCTCGTTGTCTCACGGTCCCCAGGCCCGGCGAGGGCCCCATCTGCAGGGGCCGAAGAGGGCAAACAGAAACACCTCCGTCGTGGTTGTGCGGCCCACGCGCCGGCTCTCTCTGCGGAGCGGGCTCGAAGCCGTGCCGCAGAACGACGAGGGCTCGGGGCCTCTGGTCGCGCTCGCCTGCGGTGCTGCACGCCTTCGTTGGCACGTCGGGCCTCGAGGGCGCGCGGCGCATCGCTCCGCCGCACGGGGCGCCCTCGCCCCGCGTCGCCTCGAGTGGGCCCCAGGGGGCCCGCACCGCTCCGCCCGGGATGGCCGCGGCGAGGCGCGAGGCAGCCAGCGGGGTCGAGGGTTCGGGCTGTGGCTTTGCCGCGGTGCGGCATGCTCGCTCGTCACGTCGGCAGGTGCTGGAGAGCCTGGAGAGGGCCTGGCCAGAGGAGGCGATGCCCGTGGCGTGGTTGAGAGTCAAGGGGGCTACCAGCACAGTGCGCATGGGTCGGAGCGGAACCTGTGTCGGGCTGGAGCGGGCTTCTTCGAGTACGACGCAGAGGAGGGCTGCGGTCACCTACACGGTCCAGGTGCTGGAGAGCCTGGAGAGGGCCTGGCCAGAGGAGGCGATGCCCGTGGCGTGGTTGAGAGGGCTACCAGCACAGTGCGCATGGGTCGGAGCGGAACCTGCGTCGGGCTGGAGCGGGCTTCTTCGAGTACGACGCAGAGGAGGGCTGCGGTCACCTACACGGTCCAGGTGCTGGAGAGCCTGGAGAGGGCCTGGCCAGAGGAGGCGACGCCCGTGGCGTGGTTGAGAGTCAAGGGGGCTACCAGCACAGTGCGCATGGGTCGGAGCGGAACCTGTGTCGGGCTGGAGCGGGCTTCTTCGAGTACGACGCAGAGGAGGGCTGCGGTCACCTACACGGTCCAGGTGCTGGAGAGCTTGCGAGAGGGCCTGGAGCGGGCAGAGTACGACGCAGAGGAGGGCTGCGGTCACCTACACGGTCCAGGTGCTGGAGAGCGGAGAGGGCCTGGCCAGAGGAAGCGATGCCCGTGGCGTGGTTGAGTGTCAAGGGGGCTACCAGCACAGTGCGCATGGGTCGGAGCGGAACCTGTGTCGGGCTGGAGCGGGCTTCGTCGAGTACGACGCAGAGGAGGGCTGCGGTCACCTACACGGTCCAGGTGCTGGAGAGCTTGGAGAGGGCCTGGCCAGAAGAAGCGATGCCCGTGGCGTGGTTGAGAGTCAAGGGGGCGACCAGCACAGTGCGCATGGGTCGGATCGGAACCTGTGTCGGGCTGGAGCGGGCTTCTTCGAGTACGACGCAGAGGAGGGCTGCGGTCACCTACACGGTCCAGGTGCTGGAGAGCTTGGAGAGGGCCTGGCCAGAAGAAGCGATGCCCGTGGCGTGGTTGAGAGTCAAGGGGGCTACCAACACAGTGCGCATGGGTCGGAGCGGAACCTGTGTCGGGCTGGAGCGGGCTTCTTCGAGTACGACGCAGAGGAGGGCTGCGGTCACCTACACGGTCCAGGTGCTGGAGAGCTTGGAGAGGGCCTGGCCAGAGGAAGCGATGCTGGAGAGCTTGGAGAAGGCCTGGCCAGAGGAAGCGATGCCCGTGGCGTAGTTGAGAGTCAAGGGGGCTACCATCACAATGCACATGGGTCGGAGCCGAACCTGTGTCGGGATGGAGCGGGCTTCTTCGAGCACAACCTCGAGGAGGGCCGAGGATAACGCCATCGGGTCAGAAAGCTAGGTCCTGAGGAAGTCCCCACGCGAGGGAACACATCGGGCTCACAGTCGCGCCACGTAGAGCTGGACGGAGCCCTGAGGAAGCTCCCGGAGAGGGGAACGCCTCAGGCGCTCGGCAGTCAGAGCTGGTCAGCGTCAGTGGAGTGGGCTATGTACCAGAGGCAGGTTGGCTTCGACGAGGAGGCGCTACGAGGAGCCAGGGCGAACCTCGACGGGAGCTGTGCGGACGTGGACAACGGCCTGGAGACGGCTGCTGGGCGTCGCGACGCTGGGGTACCTGTCCATTGGCCAGGTGTTGCTGCCGAAGTTGACGCCGCGTTCGGCAACGACGTGCCCTTTCGACGCCCTTGGTGAGGTGGTTGCCGCGGTGCGCGTGAGCCTTCCGTGCGCCCCTGGCGCGCGGCTGGGGCAGCGTGCCGCTGCTGGTGGGGCGACGTGGGCGGGTCCACATCCGCCTGGAGGGGCGGCGCGCTGGCCTGGGCGGGGCGGGGAGCAGCTCTCCGAGCTTCCGGTAGCTCCGCCCCCATCTTGCTTCACTTGGCGGGCGCGGAGTGCAGCAGCTGCTGGGATACAACGTTGAAGCCTCCCGGGGGCCCACAATCTTGCTTCTTAGGGCGTCCCAGGGACAAAGGAGCAGGCGACGAACATACAGACCATCGGCCCGGCGAATGCAAGCTCCCGTCGTGGCAGCAGCACTAGTGGAAGTAGCTTGAATCACGTGGGATCCCCAGCGGGGGGGTTGTAACAATATCGGCCCCAGGCGAAGTCAGGCACACTTTGTTGCACGCTATTGTGGCCACGTGGGCTGACAGCTTGATCGGCCCACCGCCATCGCGGTCGGTTGGCGATTGTGGCCTCCTCAGCTGCGCTGGTCCGTCCAACAACCAAAAACCTGTCAAAACTGATAGTAAGGATGTGCGATCAGGACGCAAGGACCTTTGACGACCATGCCGAAGCTTTTCAAGCGGTGCTGGCCATCGGTAGCGGTTGAGGATGGACCAAAGATGGCCGAAGAGCCAAGGCTGTAAGGGTACTCCTGAGACAATCAGCTTTGAATGTAAATTTGAGGCGTCCCAGCCGCGTCGAAAAGCCCAGCCCCCGCCCCCCCGGATGTTGCCGTTGAGGTGCTCCACTAGCCACTGGGCCTCCTCACCAGCGGGGGGGAGCGGCCGCGCAGACGGAGCAGGCAGGAGAAGGACGACGACGACGAAGAGAAAAGAGGAGGGAGGACGACAAGGACGAGCACGGGGTATCCTCCTCCGCCTCCCCCTCCTCCCCCTCCTCCCCTTGCTCCTCCTTCTCGTCCTCCTACTCCCCCTCCTCTCGCTCCTCCTCCTCCTCCTCCTCCTCATCCGCCTCTTCTTCTTCTTATTATTCTTATGATAATTAATATTATTCGTATGATGTTTATCATTCTTATGATTTTCTTCTTATTATTATTATTAGTCGTCTTCTTCGTCATATTATGGGTATTAACATTCTTATTAATATTACTAATACTATTACGAGTCTCATTGTTTCACGTTCTTATGTTTGTGAATGTTATTATTTTGTCGTATGATTCGTATTATGCCGATTACTATCATTACGTTGCTGTTGCTTATGTTTCTTAGTATTAGTCATCTGTTTCTACGTATTCCTCCTCCTCCTCCTCTTCCTCGGCCTCCTCCTCCTCCTCCTTCTCCCTCCTCCTCCTCCTCCCTGCTCCCTCCTCCCTCCTCCCTCCCTCCTCCCTCTCCCCTCCCTCCTCCTCCTTCTCCCTCCCTCCCTCCTCCCTCCTCCTCCTCCCCCCCTCCCTCCTCCCTCCTCCCTCCTCCTCCTCCTCCTCCTCCTCCTCCTCCTCCTCCCCCTCCTCCTCCTCAACCTCCTCCTCCTCTTCCTCTGGGTCCTCCCGCTCAGACTCGGCTCCGCGCTCGTCCTGGAGGAGCGCTCCGGCCGCAGAGTTTGTTTGAGCGGAGCCTGCCGAGGCCACGCGAAGCCCTCTAGGAGGCCCCCAAAAGAACCAAAGCCCACCACCCAGGTCCACAATCATCGAACCCTCCCCTGTCCCCTCCCTCCCTCCTCTTCCTCCTCCTCCTCCTCCTCCTCCTCCTCCTCCTCCTCCTGCTCCTGCTCCTGCTCCTGATCCTGCCCTGCTCCTGCTCCTCCCCTCCTCCTCTCCTCCTCCTCCTCTCCTCCTCCTCCTCCTCCTCCTCCTCCTCCTCCTCATCCTCATCCTCATCCTGATCCTCATCCTCATCATCATCATCATCATCATCATCATCATCATCATCATCATCATCATCATCATCACATCGTCATCGTCATCATCATCATCATCATCATCATCATCATCATCATCAGCATCAGCATCAGCATCATCATCATCATCATCATCATCATCATCATCATCACCATCACCATCACCATCACCATCACCATCACCATCACCATCAGCATCATCAGCATCATCAGCATCATCAGCATCATCATCATCATCAGCATCAGCATCAGCATCAGCATCAGCATCAGCATCGGCATCGGCATC